CTGATCAAGTAGAAAGGAATTACGGACCCAGAGTGGGTACCTCTAGCCCAACTTAATTGTGGGGCATTGCTGTACGAATTCAACCAGGGTGCTAAGGCAAGAGCGCGTTTCCAAGCTATGCAAGCTGGGGACGATCACCCTGGGAACTAGGGTCAAAGACGATGTCCGACCCAAGGAACGTGTATGTGTGAAACGAATGGTATTGATTTTGAGAAGTGTGAGTGGTCGTTTCCTGGACCCAGTGAGGATCTCAGAGAACAACCATTGTATGAGTGAGTATCATGACGAAGACTATTCGTAGAGTGGTGAAGAGGCCAAAAAACAAAAACGAAAAAGGGAAAGTGATTAGTATTAACGAGTTACTGTCTGAGACTGAGAGAAAGGAGAGTAACCCCGACATCCAAAGTACGTGGAGAACAACAACTGACGAAAGGAGTTCACGCTTGAGACGCCCCAGATAAGGGAATCACGTTCCGGGCTCTGCGTTCAGGTATCATAAGAAACGGGTGCATGAATGAAGGGACTGTGGCCAGAATATCATCGTCGCTGTGCGCCGCAGCCCACTGAGTACGGACAGGATCTTCTGCGTCCAAGTCATCAAGTGGAGCAGTGTAGTCAGCGACTCCACGGCGAATAAGGGGCGAACGTTCAGGATTCTTGAGGATCTAGTGGAACGCACACACAGGTAGCGTCCACAGACCAGGCTCGTAGAGCAGCGTCTTCGGAAATCCAGCGATCGCAAACAACCGTTCGAGTAGAGTCTCGTACTGTGCCCGAAGCCGCTTCACATCTCTGCGACGTTCCTCGTACAAGTCACGAGAAGAATCTGAGTCAGCAGCGTCTCGACCCAAGAAAGAGAGTTAACCAATGGAGAATAGCCCACCAAGTCTTGGCGTTGACACGCATGAAGTCCACATAATCCTTGATTCCGTCGAGCGTCTCAGAGTATGTTATGCCCCACGGTCGTCGTTAGTTCCCGGGACCAGCTTAGCCAGGGTCTTCCCCCATCTTTCGTATGCCTCTTAAATATATCTTTGCGTTTGTCTCATTTGTCTGTGTTGTCTCTGAGTCTTCTTGTCTTTTTCCGTTGATAACATGTATATGTCATGCAAACATGCAATAACTTGCGCCCTAGAGAATGTTCTCATCCGGGGACACAAGATTTTCTGGGGGACACTCCAGAGTTCATCATTGTAGTGATCCCTGGGTCCACGCCCCACGCAAAATACACTTTGCTCATGTCCTGGGGGTATTCTCAACCGGCAACATGAGTCTTCTGGGGACACTCCGGAGCCTACTGCTGTGGTAGTCTCCGGGTCCACGTCCCAGGGCTCTACCGGGCTTCTTCGTCCGGGAGATCGTCTCCAGCCTGCATGGCCTGAAAACGCACGCGAGCTCGCTCTCCTTTGTCGAACTCGTAGAGGAGCCTCCCGTAATTGAGCTGTCCCTGGGGGACCCAGTCCGGCACTTCATATCCTTTCCATTTCACTCGGTATTCTTTGATGCGCCGGCTAGTGCGGGTCCGGGTGACCCAACGCACATCGATTATTGCTTCCACTTCGTATTCCCCGGAATACTTGTCGAGCTCTCAGCTATCTTCACGGAGCAGCGCGGCGTCAAAGTCGTCGTCCTCGGGGATTTTCATGGGCTCCGAGGGCCGCTCCGGGTATTTAGCTCGGGGCTTCAGCCGGCTGACATGGACCCAGGTGTAAAATCGGTATTGTGTACCTTCGACCTGGAGGTGGTACCGGTAGTCGCTATCTTTTTCCGGGAACGGAACGGACCGTGCCAAAGATGAGCCAACTTCTTGGTGAGTCCGGGGCGGACCCGGGATAGGTAGAGCCAGACTGAGTCTCTGACCTCAAACCCTTCCTTGAGCCGGTCCGTGAGCTGTTTTCATTTCCGGTTATGGTCCTCGGCTCGGCGTCTTTTGGCCTTTGCTTGGAGGTCGCGGGCCCAGACCCTGGCGTACCCAACTTGGCGTTGGATCTTCGTGCGCCATTCCTGGGCGTCGCGGAGTTGGACGTCCCAGGGAAAATCTGCCTTCATGGCTTCGACAATGCCCTGGGCGTCCCAGCCATGTATTAAGTAGAATGGCGTATCGAGTCGAGTGAAGTCGAAGGAATTATTCAGTGCCCACATGAGTTTTTCTGCCAGCTCATCCCAGTTGCTCTGGTCCACCGTCTGTACGTATGCTTTGATACTTCGGATCACTGTCTGCACTGACCTCTCCGGCTGTCCGTTGGCCTGGGGGCGGTAGGCCAGGGTCGCGCGCTGTCTGCTCCCGAGCATCTCCCAGAAGTGCTTGAACACCCGACCCATGAATCGTGGGTCCCCGTCGTGGCGGATCATTTCGCTGGCCCCCAACCACCGGAACACGCATTCTTCGTAAGCTTCGGCCACGTCCTGGGCCTCAGTGCTCGCCATGGCTTTGCACATGATGAACCCCGAGAACGCGCACTGGAACAAGAGCAGGTGCTGTGTTTCCCCGGGCTGACTGTGGCAACGGTATACAAAGTCCATCGAGACGACTTGGAACGGCCGCGTAGCTAGCAAGTTGCCGGGTGACGAACCTGGGTTCTGGGGTAACCCCTTAGCTGTATCGTCATCCACGAACTCTTTGACGTATCGTTCCGTGTCCTTGAACATCTCAATCCAGTAAAATTCTTTACGTAATATCTAGTAGGTCCGGATGATACCTTGATGAGCGCCTTGGAGGTCTGCGTGGCAGTGGTGCAGAATATCCTCTTGGGACTACCAGGCGGAGACGATCAGCAGCGTCCCGGGGACGTTCTGGAGTGTTTCGATTCACATAGAACAACGCGCCCCGGGAGTCCAGCACAAACGGGTCCGCTATCTTGGCCGTTGTCTGCCTCAGGGACAGCCGTTCTGTCTCCCCCTGGAGGAAACTTACCAAGGGTGCTAGTCCCGGGTCGTGTGTCTGGTGGGAACAAACCTTCCTCCATCGTTCTCTGCGAGCGTCCTCGGGGTCCTCTTCAGGGTCCAGGGGGTTGGGGTTTCGGGGACCGGCTGCCAGTCCGTCTTCTGCGCCTTCGGTTCCCAGCTCGTCGCCCCCGATGTTGACAGGTTCCAAGTGGTCAGCTCCGGATTCTGCAGTCGATTCTTCGGCGGCATTGCTTTTCTCGGACACCTAGCGCGTCGTTGCGAATGCTTCACACTCCGGGGAACACCTAGGTATGCTCCGGACTGTGGCTATGAAAGCGCACTCTACCAGTGGTTGTTCCCTGGGACTCGGGTCCTTCATCAGTTTTTCGTAGATCCGGTTCAGGCCTTCGAGCAGCTTCCCCTCCCCGAGGGCCGTGACTTCCAATGATGACTGCTCTTGGATGCCCCGCTTGGAAATGTAGTCGGCGGCGGCGTTGAAGTCTCTCTTCACGTGTACCAGGCGCAAGGATTTGAACTTAGCTTGTAGTCGTTCGGCTTCCTGGAGGGGCCTCAACAGGTGGGGCTGGGTACAACCCATAACCCCCTGAAGCTGCTGTATTTCTAGCCGGGAGTCCCCAACCACTACCAGTTCCTGGATCCCGATGTTTAGAGCGAGTTGCATGCCTTTGACTAGTCCGGAATACTCGGCTTCGTTCACGGTAGCCTTCTCCAGGAAATGTCCCGTCGCTGCCTCGATCTCCCAACTCGGGAGACTCCAGAGGATGCATGCGGCGCCCCCAGACCCATCTCTTTTGGCGGCTCCATGTTGACCGCCCACTTGAGGCATCTCCCGTCTAGCGTCTTGGACTTGAACAACCACGCTAGTACCGAGTACCGGGTATACACGCGAATCTTCTTCTCGGAACAGCTCGTAATCATAGTATGGCATGTGTTCAGGACTCGGAGCAGCGCTAGCACTTCCTTCTCGGCGGGGTGGTACCGGAATTGAGCATCTTGGGGAACCCGTCTCACGAACTGCGCGGGTAGTATGGTGCCGTCGTAGTCTTGTCCCAGAACCGCGCTGATGGCCCAGGGGTTGGCGTGCAATATGATTACGTACTGCCTCC